CCCTCCTACCCGTGCGGGCCCGGCTTCGGGGATAAGTTCCCGCTGGACGAGGCGGACCCGCGCAACAGCAGCATCGCGGCGCTGCGTCTGAAAGCCAAGGAGCACATCCAGGCCATCGGGAAGCCGTGGCAGGCCCTCTAGGGGTACTGGGGACCGTCTTGGGAGCCGACCCCGGGCCGAGCGCACTGTATCCACATCCTCTCTACCAGGGACCTCCCCCACCCCACTCGGCCCCTCTTTTCCTATCGCCTGCAAGCCACCCGCCAGGCATACCATGCGCCTGCTCCCGACGCACGGGAAGAAGGGCGACTTTCAGGCCTGAGGAGAGGCTCTCTGGCCGCCTCAACACATTTCGCGGACCTCAGCCCTGCAGCTGGAGGCCAACAAGCTGCCGGGCCCCGCTGGCCACGCCGCTCCCATCCCCGCAGGCGCTGGAGCCTCCAGGCCCAAACAGGCTGAAGCTTCTGAACTTGGCCATTCCCAGGAGACTTGGAGATCCCCAGATAATCGTAACAGGGCAGCAGGGGCGGCGGAAAAATAGAGGTTGAGGAACTTTTGTATAAGTAGTTTCAAAGTATTTGAGAGGAGAATTAAAGGCATGCTTGTTTTGTTTCGACTCTGTTTAAGCACGCTTAGGACTTGGGGAGAGGAGTGAACATGGGGGTTCGGGAGGAGGGCGCGCTGATGGACAGGGTGCGTTAGGGAAAGAGGAGGACTGAGAAGCAGCTCAGAGTTCTCCCGTGAAAATTCTAGGGACACTTCGCTGCACCAGAGAATCGTCCCCATTCGGAACGCTTCGGCGGCCTAGACCCGAGGCGCCCTTCCCTGGAGCGGATGTGCGCGCGCGGGGTCCGGAGTGGAAGGGGCTAAGGTTCAGCCACTAGCGCGTTCCCAGTTCCCCCGCTAGCCCCATAGTCCAGCGGCAGCTGATACTTTGAAGTCTGACTTTAATAGAAAACGTCAAGACCAATTTCCCTAGGACGCGACGAAGTGTCCCCCGGCCCCTGGCGTCCCCGCTCTCCTAAGGGCTCCTCTCAGCTCACCAGGTAGATCTCCGGTTCGGTGCCAGTCCCTAACACCCAGGACTGGTGACTAGCGGTACAAGCACTGAGACAAAGAGATGCTTTTCCTTTTCGGAGCCGCGAGACTCTAACCTCCCCAACTCGCTCCACACTCGCCAACCCAGAGTTCGGCAAAAGGCGAGTCTGGTGAGGTGCGGTGCTCGGAGAGTGTCCTGGAGCGCCCTGCGGCACCGCCCCGAGGACTAGTTCTTGCGAGCGTGCCCTGGACAGTATCTGCAGTTCTTTGGCGCCGGTTCTAGGGCGAGGAAGGAATCCCGAAATCTCAGCCCGCTTCACAAGCTCCTGAGACTCTCGGAAGAAGGAGCGTCCCGGACTTCCGTCTGAGCGTGCTCGATATCCACCGGTGACACTGGAAGCTGGGCCACGGCCAGCAGAACCTGGATGCCTGCCAACAGGTCCTCGCCACACCCCACCCCACCCCACCCCCGTCTACCCCACAACCCCCGTCCCTAAGCGTGCTTTCGGGATGATGCCGCCAGAGCCTTAATTGGCGTCAACTGGCTACTGTCTGTACCTGTAAAGACTGTGTAAAGTACCAAGACCCTGGCATGACGAAATATGGATCGTAATCACGGTCCCCCTTTCCCCGAAATTCCCTGACTGTTCTCCGGTTCCTGAAACCGACTTGGGAAAAGGATGACCACACTGGAGCTGGAAGTAGGGGAAGCCTCATCATAGTTTCCAGTCCTTTCTCTGGGGGTTCTGAGAGGCTATTGCATAACCAGAACTGTGTACCCCTAGACCTCCAGCTGGTGCCTTGCACACAGTAGGCTAATGAGTAAAAATTTACTGAATAAATTATTTCCCACAAGAGGTAGGGAGCAATATCTGCACTTTCCCTTACAAGTATGTCTCCTTGCGAGAGACGAATGGAGTAGCTCATGTGCTATCACCTCTTAGCAAGAAAACAAAACAAAACAAAACCAGAATGAGTGTTTGGCCTATCATTTGTTTCATCCTTTCATTCCCTAAGGATGATTTATTTACAGAACTTCCCACTTCATGGGCTCCAAGTGAGTACCACACTTGCCCTGTCCTCCTTCTTACCGCAGTCTTGGGCACCTGTGACCTTGAGCATGCCACCATCAACATCTTCTTCACTTCCCTTAGATCATTGCCAAGATTATCCATTTCGTCTCCTCTGTGCTGTTTTTCAGTTCTTTACCTATGTTTTTCTGCTACTTCCACTTCACCTTCTACTGTTTAGTTTCAGACGATAATAGATTTTCTTCTAAACCATCTCTCCAGGCACCAACAGAGTGAGCCATACCCAGATTTCAGAGACAAGCCCTCGGAAAATGATCACAAAAATATCAATAGCTAATGATCATTGAAGGCTTACTATGTGCCAGCACTCTTCTGAGAGGTTTACGTCTACTGGCTCAGTTAAGCCTCACCACAATTCTGCCAAGAAGATACAATTAGCCCCATTTTACAAATGAGGAGACTGAGGCACGGAGAGGTTGTCCCAGTTTACACTGTTTCTAAGCGTTTAGGACTGAAATAACCAGAAGTGTCCATCACAGTGCGTGTTGGGAAAACATTGCTGATAAGTGCTCCTTATATCAATTCTACCACAGCTCATTAGGCCATATTGGAAACAGAGATCCTGGGCGGTGGGCACTAGCTGTGCTTTCCCGAGCCTCCTGGAGAGATCTGCACACAGCATCTGCCCCAGGGTTCCCCCGTCCCCGCAGGGCAGCTCTGAGGGTGGGAGATTCACTGCCAGCTCCAGGAGTAGGGGTGCAGATGGGGCGGGAATCCAGTACTTAACTCTGACTGGAGGTGAGCAGCTTGTGATAAAGAGCATTAAAACCCCGACGGCCCTGAAATACTTGGGGCCTCTCAGTTCAAACCCATGGCTAGAGAATACTCTTTGCAGAGGCGCTGGCCGAAGTTGGGGCACAAGCTTCCAAAAGTAGACTGTTGGCTCTGTCGGGCATGAGGCTTTCAGGGACCCCGAGGGAAGCCTGCATCACTTTCCCAAGAATCACATTCAATGGTTCTTGAATCTTCCCTAATGAGTTTGCAGATTTGGCTCAGGCGATGCCACCAGTGCCCATAGAAGGAAAACAAGAACCACATGGGTCTCACGAGGTTCCAGAAGAAAAGGCACCGTGCTGCTCCAAGAACAGACCTAGGGCAAGCCTCGATTGGTTTCAGTCAATTCAAAAGATCTGGAGATGCTTGCTTCCCAAACCCCGACAATGTCTGCTCTGCCCGGCCCTAGGAGGAAAGCAAGTGGGTCTATAGACCCGGATCCTCTTCTGCTCCTGTGAACCAGGTTGGGCGGGCCTCTCAGACAACGAGGGCGGGGCGGAGAAGGACGCCGCGGATTGGACCGCGCGGAGAGAAGGGCGGAGTCAGACACTGTTGGGGAGGTGAGTTGCTGACAGCTCTTAGAGCCTCAGGGAACCTCCGCTGACCCAGAGAGCTGGAGCCTGCCGGGAGCGAACCTCCCCGGTGATCGTGGCCACCATCAGCCAGCCCCAAGGCAGTTTTTGTTTTGTTTTGTTTTGTTACAGACAGGGTCTCGCTCGGCGCCGAGGCTGGAGTGCAGTGGCGCAATCATAGCTCATTGCAGCCTCGACTTCCCAGCCTCAAGCAATCCTTCTGCCTCAGCCTCTGGAGTAGCCGGGACCACAGGCGCGCGCCACCACGCCCGGCTAATGATTTTTGTTTTCACTTTTTTGTAGAGACGAGGGTCCACTATGTGTGCCAGGCTGACCTCCAACTTCTGGCCTTAAGCGACCCTCTCGCCTCGAAATCCCAAAGCGTTAGGATTACAGGCGTGAGCCACCGCGCCTGTCGGAGCATTTTAAGTTTTGCGTTTTTCCCTTTCTGGAGCATTCTCTGTGCGCGAGGGCGGCGTGTCCATAGCGCGCGCCATGGCTCCCGGCTTCTGTTGGCGATGCTCACAACCCAATTTCTTTCCTGCACGGACGCAGGGGACTGAGGGTTCGGCCTCTCTGGATTCCTGGGCTCCAGAGGCTCGACGTTAAGAGAACAACCGTAGGATCGCGGAGGCGCCCTCGCTCTGGGTGCTGGGGTTCGGCGCTGCGGCCCTGGACGGATCCAGGCTGTGTATCCCTAGTGGATTTCCTAGTTCCGAACCCAGTTCTGTCCCCTGCCGGTCTGAGCCCCCACCTGCGCTCCTCAGGAGGGTGATCCGGGCTGGTGAGGGTGGGATGGGGTGGAGGGACTAGAAGAGAACCCCCAAGAGGGGAGGGCTTTGACCAGAGGTCAGCAATTAAACTGGGACCACCCTGCTGAATTTATTTATCCTAAATATATATTTAATGCTTGGGGAATGGGAATTGTCAAACTAGTGGAGACAATCCCTATCTGTCCCCCACGCCGCCCCAGTTAATCTAGAATCTGGTGAGGGTAGAGGGAAGGTCAATTCCTCCCTCTCTAGTCCAAATTCACCGGCTAGTTCAAAGTCTTTGCGGAGACCGCCGGAGCCCACGCGCAGGAAGTGGGGGTTGGGGGCGGCAAGAGAGTCCAGGACCCCCAACTCAGCTTCCAGAGAGCCAGAGAGCGCGTTCCCCACAGGGTCGGCGTACGGTGAGGGCACCCTGGGTGCGGACCTGAGAGCCCTGGCGGTTTCAGCATTTGATGAGATGCTCTCCCCGTCATCCACCCCTTCCAGCTCCGCGCCTCACCCCAGGCTCCCAGCCCCACTCCCAGCCTCGCCCAGTCCGCTTCTCCAGCCTCCATCCCAAGAGCTTCTTTTCACCAGCAGAATCTTGTTACATGAATGGAATCCAAGCCTCTAGAAGGTGGGCAGGGTAAGACTGTCAGGGAAGATAAAATTAAAAATTAATTTATTAAAATACAGTTAAAGTAATTAAAAGCTGCACTTCCGTGCTCGGGTAGACGGAGCTCCGCACTCCCCCTTGGTGCCTTCTTGCCCTCCTGGGAAAGGCGAGACCCCGCAGCGCCAGACGGGAGCACCCGACCCTTGTGGAGGCGGATGGTGCTCTCTGTGACCTTGTCGTCCCTTTTATTGGGGACAAGTTCTAATAATCTGGCCTCCGCTTGTTAACTGTACAATAGTGGGCAGAGTTAATGACTCATTAGTGATTAATGCCTTTACCACGCCTTAATTGCTCACTATAAAATCCCTTTGGTAAACTGGATTAAATCATCTAGATCCTTGGCCACGTCTCCCCCAACCCTGGCAGAGGCAGAGACTGCTGGGTTCCCCAGCACCCTGCGCCTGTCAGCTTTTTAATGGCAGGTGCAGTGGCAGCTCCTCTGCCTGGGAGTCAGGAGATCTGTGGCCCAGTCATGACTGTGACATTGCCTGTTCGTGGGACCTTAAACAGGGTACTGTCAACAAACCTCACTGGAGCACTAGGTCTCTAAGATCTCTGCTCCCTCGTTACTTCAACATAGACACCGAAAACGTGACAGCTCATTTGAGAAGCAGCGTTCCTCTGCTCTGTGCTTAGTATAAGTGTGTGTATTTATGTTAGTGGGTTCTGAATGAATTGCATACAAGGATGTCTTCCTGTCCAAAGTTCTCTGC